TGGGAGAAGGCGAACCAAGAAGCAGGCCGCATGGATTTGGGGTGGGGGGGGATCCCCGAGGGAGATGGAGGGAGGGAGGGGAGACCCTTTTCCAGATGCTCGTCTCCTCCCCCAAACCAAAAACCACAACCATACAAACTACGACCGGAGAGGGAAGGAAGGATCAGGATACCACCCCCCCGTGTTCCAACTCTTCTCCATGGGGAGGGAGAGAGGCATTGAAGGGATGACCCCCCCTTACACACACATCCTTTAGGGACACAAATTTTAAAAATGGGGGGGAGAAGAAGAGGTGAGTGGGTTTTTTCCCCATTTTTGATGGGTCTTGGGGGGGTTGGTTGCTTTTTGGATTATTGACTTTTTTTAAAAAACAGAGAGACTGCCTGTTCTGGGTGAGTACACTGTATTTACTGTACAGGGTTTTTGCAGCTTGGATTTGAGCTAGGTGGGGGGTTATGTTTTTGTGCTCTGATGGGTCTTGCAGTGTGGATTTAAAATGTGAAAAGTAGACTGTAATATTAAATTAAAATTAAATGTGAAAATTAGACTGCAAGTTTAAAATGTAAACTTTATTTATTTACAGTGGGGTCTTGACTTGAGAACTTAATCCGTATTGGAAGGCGGTTCTCAAGTCTAAAAGTCTGTAAGTCAAGTCTCCATTGACCTACAGTGCATTGAAAACCGATTAATCCTGCAACAGGCCGTTTTTGTTCCATTTTGGTTTTTTTCTGGTCTGTAAGTCAAATCTCAGTCTGCAGGTCAAACCTAAATTTTGCAGCCAGAGAAGTCTGTAACTCCGTCCCGTCCCGTCGGGCGCCGTCCCGCCTTCCGTCGTCGTCTTTCTCCTCACGGCCGCCTTTTCTTTTTCTCCTCAGAAGAGCATGTCTTTTCCCTCAGCGGAAGGAAAAAAAACCCCACACAACCACCATCAATGTCTTTTTCCCTCACGCCTCCCGTCGGCGCCTTGGGTTTCTCCCTCCTCTTTCCTCACGTAGAGCTCAACGTCCCGTCGGGCGCCGTCCCGCCTTCCGTCGTCGTCTTTCTCCTCACGGCCGCCTTTTCTTTTTCTCCTCAGAAGAGCATGTCTTTTCCCTCAGCGGAAGGAAAAAAAACCCCACACAACCACCATCAATGTCTTTTTCCCTCACGCCTCCCGTCGGCGCCTTGGGTTTCTCCCTCCTCTTTCCTCACGTAGAGCTCAAACTTTTCTTTAAAAAAAACAAAACAACAAAAAAGCAACAAGCCCGCCTAAAGTCTTCTCTTGGTGTGTATGTCTGTGAACGCGTTACTGTTCAGACTCCGCTCGCAGCATCTCCTAGCCAGAGCTGTCGTTTCCCTACCCCCCCCCCAAAAAAGTAACTTGTCCGGGTTTCTACCTCAGCACTTCATACCAGAGGAGTTTAGGCTTTTATTTGGCTCCCCTGCGTCGCAGAGAAAACGAGGAGCGGTTTAGTTCCTCGAGGAGGAACGAAGAACGGAACGGAACCCTGAGAATAGGCTCCAGCTTCAAAAGTAACGGCGCAATCAGAACGCAACTGTCTTCTCTTCCCCCCCCCCTCCTTGCCACGAAACACAAACATCTGGAATAAGGGGTTTATTGTAGGGTAACAAATATTTCTTCGATGGGCTGGAGCAATTAGGGAAGGAGAATTGGAGGAAGGAAAGACCAAGAAAGGAGAAAACATAAAATGCAGAACGTTACAAAGGCTTCTGCCAGGTAACCTTAGAAGGGCAGAGTTTGACACTTCAAGGTAAACATAAATGGGAAGAGAAGTGCAAGAATGGGAAGAAACTGGACGGAAACCCCTTGAATGCAAGAGAGCATCCTTGTGAAAGAAGAGCTGCATCCAAATTCTTCCGTCAGGCCGACAATCAAAACTTAAGAGGAAACAATAAGGTCTATATAAGCAATCACATGAACTTCTGTGAGCTTTCTAAAAAAAAAAATTAAATATGTCACTAAATCAATAACCAGGGCTGACGACGGAAAGACCAACAAGTGGGTCCTAGATCATATCCAACGCTGATCCATCTCTGGAGGAGAATTATGTTGAAGCTGAGGCCGTCCTGAGAAAGCAGGATTTTCTGGAAATTAAAAATAATGCCAGGAACGATGGAAGGCAGCAGGAAAAGAGCAAATGTGAGACGGATTGACTCCCTAAAACAATAAAGGAATCTCACAGTATTATGGCGTGCCCTTAAAACTGCTTCACGCCATGCAGATGTTAAGCTCTTTATCTATGGTCTGATGTACTTAAGGATTTCCAAGGAGTCTTGAACAAATAAAGCCTTCCGATGTATACCTGTTAACAATCCTTAAGGGCTTGCTCTGATCAGCCCATCATCTTGCCGGGCACAGCAGTAACATTTTCTCCCCCATCACTCTCCAAGTTTGCACATACTGTACTGTACTGCATACACTACTGATGCCGCACTTTGTTCATCCCTGTCTTAATGTCTCTGAAGCAGTGAGCTATACTCCACAAACATTATTCACATCAAATTAAACTTAAGATCCTTCAGTACAAGACTTTCTGGCAGGTCTTCATGCACAAGGAGCTCAGATTGCATCAGTTCCTTGCAGCAATTTTGTGAAATGCTGGTTGTGTGCTGTTGCATGCCTGATTGTGGCATTACTTCTGGAGTTGGGAGTTCTGTGTATGTAACTATTGAACAGGGTGCTGGCCTTTATTGCGGAGGGGATATCCCTCGATTTTTAGACTGAAGGAAAATAGTAACAGGTGGGTTGGCCTGTTATTTCAGGAACACAAACCTTTGTAGAACTTTAGGAACACAAACAAACCTGGACAATTGGTAGTTTTCCTTGTTTACCACGTAATAAATGCTGGACGGAAATCCACCGCAAATGGGACATGCTCTATGTTGTTGCTTGACTATAGCTTTCCTGGGGGGAGATTTTTTTTACTTAAAAAGATGGTTGCTTGCATGAATCAGTGTTGAGAGAAGGATATTGTCTACGAAGCAGGTATTTCTTCAGTTCACTGGTTCTTTTGCCATAATTGTTTCCAGTGTTACTGACAGATGGCTCCGACACTGAGAAGCCAGTTGTAGATGATATTTTTCTTTATACCGTATATTTAAGGTTGTAAGATTTCAGATCTCAGTTAAGTGTGGGAATCAGTTGGCTTGTGACATCAGCGTTTGATTTTATTCCAGAGACTAAAAGATTGAATGGTTCCCATCCAAAGTTTTAAATCTAACAAATGCAGTGCAGGAGGACGGCAATGGGCAGGGAAGACGAAGGCAATAAATAAATAAAATAAGAATCCATCAGTGTCCTTTTTGGCAAAGAAGGTTAAATATGAAAGTTAAATAATAACCCCCTGCAGATGCCTCTTTCTTGGGCCAATGGTAAAGTCAACCTAGTATCTACCAAAGCATAGTGTTCTTTTTATATAACAAACAAACAAACAAAATTAAATGAGACACAACTAACCAAGAAAGCCTTAATGACACAAAAACAGAAAAATAACATAATAATAAAAAAGTGCTTCCTCTCCCCCCCCCTGGAACCACCTGGAGATATAAGCAATTTTTCCTTCACTATGAAGGAAACTACATAATTCAAAAGTGCATTGAGTAGGTACACAAGTTATAATTTTTGACACAAATACGATAAATTATCCCCATCTATCAAAGATATTAGACAACAATCCCTTTTTAAATGTTTGTATTACACATTAATTTATCTTTAATAATTATATTCCAAACTTCTTTATATCATTCCTCTAATTGAAAATCTTGCTGCTGTTAATAAATTTCAAACTAATTTTTTCATTGCTCAGCTCCATTGCTCCGTATCAAATATTGATAAGAACTGTTTTAGGGCAAACCTCCATACAGTATTTAACATAATTATTTAATTTATCTTCTTGAAGAATCCAGAATTTTGATATATTGCCATATTCCCACCATATATGGAAATATGTACCTACCTCCTGACAGCTTCTCCAACATAAATTAGAATATTTAGTATCTTTATGATTTCCTTCCATCAGAGTAAAATGCCATCTCCAGACTAATTTATAAAGGTTTTCCTTTGTCCTTATAGACATACTTTAATATTCTTTAATCTCATATAGTCTTCCACACCTTGGTACTTCTTTCTTTTCCCAAATTATATTTCTATAATGCTTTAAGAACATCTTGTTGGTCCTTTGCTTCTATTAATATCTTATTTACAATCCCTGACATTATCTTACTTTCATCTACCTTTTCTTTCTGTACTACCATTTCTTCAAATCTTGTAAGATCTCTACATTTACCATGTCTCTTTACTCAGTCTTTAGTCCATTGCTCTAACTGGATAAGATTAAATGAAGATATTATTTCCAATCCTAATACTGTGATTATTTGCTCTTTTTTACTCATATTTTCCAACCAGTCTTTTAATCTAATAAATTGTTTCCTCCTTAATAAATTTTCCGAATTCCATTTCAGATCTCCTCCAATTCTACAACTGCATATCATGGATAAATTATTAGAATAAATATTTCTCTATACTTGTTCAAAATTAACATGATTTTTTGAAAAGGAGTTTCATGGTTTCTTATTAATGTATTTTTATGTATTTTTATGCTTTGACTGCACTGTTCATTTGTATTTTTATGTTTTGTTTTGTCAAATTGCATTTTAACTACTGTATGTCGTTTGTATATGTTGTAAACTGCCCAGAGTGGACATCTGCCAGATGGGCAGTATAAAAATGGAATAAATAAATAATAAATACAATTATATTCTTGAAGGCTTTCATAGCCAGGATCTGATGGTTGTTGTGGGTTTTTTGGGCTCTTATCAATTTCTTAAAAATCTAACCTTAGCTGTATTAAATTGTTAGGCTGAAATAAAACATCTAAAAAATTGATTAAATAATAATAATTTTACATCAAGTCAGTTCTGACTTATGGCAACTCTCTTCAGGGATTTCCAGGTAAAGAGTGTTCAGTTCCAGCTAAATCTGGAAGCAAGATCAGTGTACAATAACATTATTTTGCAAAAGAATCCTTCATGTTTGATAGTCCAACATAAAAGTAAAGAACTGAGGAAAAAACTTGGTCCTTGAGCAAGTTAGCCCACCAGCAATTTACTCTCTTCTTTGTGAAGGAGCAACTCAACCCCAATTGGCAGATCTCTTGGAAGGGTCTGGAAACTGACATTTTGGATATGAAAATGGAGAGGTTTCTTAGTTTAGCCTAGTTATCTTAGGAGAATGCTATGCTCATCTGCTGCCCTGCTGTATGACTTGCATTCTGTATATGCTCTAGAACTATGCTGAAGCTTTATGCCAGGCTATATTAGCTTAGGTGAACTAGCTTTCTTATTTTATTGTGGGATTGTTGTGGCCTCAACTTTCAGATTGCTTATTTGCTCCACAATCCTTTGACTGCTTTTGTAACCTTCTGAAAGTGCTTTAAAGTTTTGCTCTTTTGACCTTTTCCACCACCTTTAATAACATTTAAAAAATTACAACAATTTTGGAGTAAGAAGGTTGATGGTAATTTTAACCCAGGCCTTGCATCCGTTGTCTAATGAGAGCCTGTGTGTTTGTGTGTATTTTTGGTACTTCATACCCTGCAGGGTAGGCACAAAAGTAAAAGCATTTAACTTTTGTGTATTTGTGGACTAGATTCAGATGAAGAAGTGAAAAACGGGGAAAGCAACATCCATAATTTAAGATATGCAGATAACACCACCTTACTTGCAGAAAGCAGAAATAACTTAATAACAATGGTTGTTGTGGGTTTTTCGGGCTCTTTGGCAGTGTTCTGAAGGTTGTTCTTCCTAACGTTTCGCCAGTCTCTGTGGCTGGCCTCTTCAGAGGACAGCACTCTGTGCTCTGGTGTATTTGGCTTCGGAGTGCCAGTATTTATGACTGTGGGATAGGCTATTGTCTTTTTCTGTAGATGGGTGATTAGTGTGTCTTGTTGTGGGTGTATTGTTGTGATAAGGAGAAGAGACAGACCCGGAGACTGGAAACACTCAGAAGCAAAAGAGCACAAACTTAATAACAACTTTGGATGAAAGTGAACACATTTAGTCATGGAAGATTTTTGATGTTTCTTCCACCCATTTTCCTTCAGCCTTCTTCTAAATTTAGCCCAGCTGTTCCTGCATGATCCTCTGCAAAGGAAATGCACCCTTGTCTGACCCCTTGGTCTACCCGAAACCCTTCCGTTTGGCTGTGTTCTGCAGAGAAATCAAGGAGTTTTGCTTCCTCCTCCCCCCCCCACCCCCGCCGGACAATTAACCAAGGCAGGGATCAGGGCAAAGCCCAACCGGCCAGTGGGCGACTACTTAGGGCTCAGCTTCCGGGGCATCCATCGGAGTGCGGAAGAGGAGGCTGCCTAGGCGCATTTTTCGTTGGTCCCGGAATATGACCATAGAAGCGGACTTGGAGCATATCTACTCTTCTGTCTCTGTGGAGCTTCCACGGTCCTAACAACGCTGCCGTGGATTGGGGAATCCTCTAGACCGGCCACGCGGCCCTCGTTCACCAGGCAGCCTCGCAAAGGCTGATTGGCTCCCTGGCTTCACGCGGGATTGTGGTCCGCGCCGGCGTCCAACCAGAGCGGCCTTTGCTTTTCGGAGCGCTCCGCAGCCGGAGAGTCCCCGGAGCGAGACGGCCGCGGATTGGCCGGCGTCGGCGTTATATAAACCGGGGTCAGGCGGGCGGGCCCTTCCTTTTTCCGCTCTCCTCTCCCTGGCGGCGCACAAGGTGCTCGGTCCTTCAGCCGAAGCTAAGGCCGACTTCCCCACCCTCGGCGACTGGCACCGCGCACCGACCCCGACCCGACCGCACCCGCCATGGCCTCCGTCTCCGAGCTCGCCTGCATCTACTCCGCCCTCATCCTGCACGACGACGAGGTCACCGTCACGGTGAGGCGGCGCGAAGGCCTCCGCCGGGGAGGCCGGGAGGGGAGGGAAGGGAAGGGAAGGGAGGAAGGAGCCGGGTCGGGTCGGGCTTCGTGGGCCGCGGGTGGGTGTTTGGGGAGGGGGGAGAAGAAGAGGGACCTCGTGGCGCTCCCTCCGAGGAGAAGGCCCGGAAAGGGAGGCCCACGCCCCGCTTCCCTCTCTTGGTCCTGGCGGGGGCGACGCCGCCCTGCTGCTGCTTCTTCTGCTTTGAGGAAGGGGGCGCGTCTTCTGGATCGGGACCTGGGACGGCTTTCCCCCGTGGGTTCCCCCCCCCGCGTCCAGCACGAGCGCCTCTCTTCCTGAAGCGCTTTCCACGGGCGGATTTCCAAAGGGGGGGGATGGCAAGAGAGAGAGAGAGAGAGAGCGAGCTTGAATCTTCCTTGGGGGCTGAAGAGCCCAAAACGGAGCAGCCGCTCTCTGGGTTGCCTTGCTCTGCCTAGAGGTAGAATGGAGGCCCCACCACGTGGCCTAAAGAGGACCTCCTTGTCAGTGGACCAGGCCATGGACTGTATCTGGTTAAAAAGGAGTTTAAATCGTTTTAACTGTGTTTGAAACTACGTTTTCTATACTGTATATATGTATATGTTTCCTATATATATATATGCCCAGAAATGTAAACTGTGTAATAGCCTCAAGCTTTTAGAGCTGCAGCATTGGAAGGGGAGGGACCCTGTGGATCGAGTCCAGCTTCCTGTCAAGGAGGCCCATGAAGAAAAATAAATTACCTTCATAAGGTTGAGTTTTGTATTATGCTGGTTGCAATGGATTCATGCGTTGTGGGACAAGAGGTCTTGTAAGGACATGTTTAAATGTGCCTTGGGGGTTTTGCTTCTCTGAAGGGGCATCTTTTTGGATGCAGTTTGCTCTTTTTGTCTTGAGGATACATTCTAGGTAACTGCATTGCCAAAAAGGGCAGTAAGAGGCTTTATTTTAAGAAGTCCCAGAATTAATGTTCCTCTTGGCTTGAACAGAGAGAGAGACATGATGGTGTATAATAATGAGTGAAACAATGGTTTTTCATCAGCCTGCAGAGTTTGGAACAAGACATCCAGTAAAGTATTTCAGGTATTTTTATTAAACAAAATATCAGATCTTATGCTCAGTATAGTTACTGTCAGGTCCTCTTGAGCTGAGACTTTAAAACAGCTGGCCAATACAGATGTTCTTATATCGCTACTCTCATCTTTCGCTGTTGGCTGCGCTCACCATGGCTAAGAAGACCTGCAGTCATAGCACCACTTTAAGGGGCACTAGCTTCACAGATCATCAAGCCACAGATGTTCTGTTATATGTTTTGTAGCGGCTAGTAGGGGGAAAATGCCATTTCAGAAGAACAGAACAAGAATATTTTAAATGCTATTACAAGGCCTCATCTCCCACAACAAATCAATACAGTGGTACCTCGACTTGAGAACGTCCCTACATAAGAACAGCTCCATTTTTAAAAAGTTGCTTCGACTTGAGAACAGAGCCTTGACTTAAGAACCAAAGGGGGAAAAACCTTTCCTGCCCTTTTTTTGACCTAAATTCACCTTAGGTCAAAAGAAGAAAACAAAGAAAATTCACCCTCTAATGGTGAATATGGATGCAAAAGAAGAAAAAATAAAAAAAATCACCCTCTAGTGGTGGATATGGATCAACTGGCTTTGCACTAGTTCCTATGGGAACTAATGCTTAGACTTAAGAACAGCGCCTCGATTTAACGAAAAACAGCAAATACGGATTAAATGGTTTTCAGTGCATTCCTATGGGAAATGGTGCTTTGACTTATGAACGTTTCGACCAATGGTGCTTTGACTTATGAACGTTTTGACCTAAGAACATAGTCCCAATATGGATTAAGTTCTTAAGTTGAGATACTATTGTACTAGCGATGGGCAATAATTGGTGTGTTTTGGCATTTCAGGCCCATAGGTGTTGTGTTGGTACCCTGGATTCCCTACCTTGTCTTTTCCCCATGGAGACCAGCTGCAGGAGGAGGCAGGGCAGGGAAGCCGGATTGGTGACACAACACCTGTGGGCTCCATCTGATGAACCATATTTTGTGCCCATCTCTGGTAAATGCAATATAAGCAATAACATCAGGGAGGTATTAATAATTATGAGGTTGTTCTACTAGCAGAGTTATAGGTCTCAAACTGCATATTGAGCAGTACTGGTTTTCAGAGACAGTGTATCTCAAACTGCATATTGAGCAGTACTGGTTGTCAGTGTGTGTATTTCTTTGGCAGAGGAAACAGGATGATTTATGATTTACTTAGTCCTGCTGATATGTTTCATCTAGGAGGACAAAATCAATGCTCTTATCAAAGCAGCTGGAGTCAATGTCGAACCCTTCTGGCCTGGTCTGTTTGCAAAGGTAAGACCAGTCAAGAAAATGTGATCCGGTATAACAGATTTCATGTAACCACCTCTATCCGAATGTTCAAGAGGTTTGAAAGTTTTACTAACCACATAACGGAGAGGCTGGTAGATTGCTACCAACTCCTAAAAGTGAATTGAAAGCAACTACTGAGTGTTTTAGTACTTTCATTTAGGGTGTGGTAGGGGTTTTTTAATGACATTGTTTAGGTTATGATCTTTTGGGAGTATTGTCAAAAAATAACAGTTAAAATAAACATCCCTAATGCTGAACTGTAGTTAGCACTGAATTATTCCAAAGCCTTTAAACCAGTGGTCCTCAACAGTACCAGGGACCGGTTTAGTTGAAGACCATTCTCCCTAGGGATGGGGGGAGTACTTGTCATGCAGTACATTGTTGGAGGCGAGATTTGAATTGAGCTCATTACAGTGGTGCCTCGCTTGACGAGGATAATTCGTTCCATTCAAATCGCTCTTAAGCGAAATCCTCATCAAGCGATATTAAAAAAACCCATTGAAATGCATTGAAAACCGGTTCAATGCATTTCAGTGGGAGAAATACCTGCTCGTTTTGCACAGATCCTCCATAGGGCGGCCATTTTCCGGTGCCTGTAAAGTGAGGAATCCATCCTAAAGCACAGCGGGGAGCCATTTTGCACAGCGGGGAGCCATTTTAGAGCCGCCGATCAGCTGTTTTAAAATCCTCGTCTAGCGAAAAATCTGTTCTCGAAGCAGGGAACCGATCATCGTTAAGCGATTTTCCCCATAGGAACATTATTTTGCAAACGCAATAGCGATTGCAAAAACTTCATCGTAAAGCGGTTTCGTCATTTAACGAGGTAATTGTTAAGCGAGGCACCACTGTACATGTATTGTGGCCTTTATTTCTATTATCATTACATTAGCATTATGTCTCCTGTTAGATCAGTACCGGCATTAGAACCTAAGAGGAGTGCAGGCTCCTATGAGATTCTAATGCCACAGGCACAGCTGATGTAGCAGCTGCTGGCGGAGCAGGGAGCGAAGCTCTGCTTCCTGTCAGATCAGCAGCGGCATCGGAACCTAACAGGACGGTGCTGATGGGGTGGAGCTTTGCTCACCTCTCATCTGTCCCGGTGGCCCGGTCCTTCCACAGACCGGGGGTTGGGGGACCCCTACTTTAAACTGTGGAAGAATGAGTAAGTTTCTTTCTGTGAGGTATGTTACAGTTAAGTGTAACAATTAAGTTACAATTAAGTGGAAGAACATCCACATTTTCTTTCTGTGAGGTATGTTACAGTTAAGCATAACAATTAAGTTAAGTATTTTCTTACTTGAAGTAAGCAGTTCTAGAAGATTTAATACACCTTAGATTTTTCTTCTACAAAAGAGTTTAGCTTACTCAAAGAGATTTATTTATTTATTTATTGGACTTATATACCGCCCCACAGCGCTACAAGCACTCTCCGGGCGGTTTACAATTTTTTAATTATACAGGCTACACATTGCCCCCCCAGCAAGCTGGGTACTCATTTTACCGACCTCGGAAGGATGGAAGGCTGAGTCAACCTTGAGCCGGCTACCTGGGATTTGAACCCCAGGTCGTGAGCACAGTTTTAGCTGCAATGCAGCGTTTTAACCACTGCGCCACGAGGCTCATATGGATAGGACTGTTTTGTAATAACGATCTTTTTTTTTAATGACTAGGCCTTAGCCAACATTGACATTGGAAGTCTCATCTGTAACGTAGGCGTTGGTGGTGGGGCTCCGGCGGCTTCAGCCCCTGCTGGTGGCGGGGCGCCTGCTGGTGGCGCTGCTCCTGGTGAGTTAGATTTTTTTGTAATTGTCTCTGTGGGATTTTCTCCTTGGGATCTCAGTTGCAGTTTCTGGAAGTAGGTGTGATGATGAAAGGTAAAGCTGTATGTTCAGTATGAAGCCGCATGTGGACATTTTTATATGGTAGGCTGGGATTGCCATCCTTTAACCAGTACTGATTTATTTTGCAGCTGAGGAGAAGAAGGAAGAAGAAAAGAAGGAAGAATCTGAAGAATCTGATGATGATATGGGCTTTGGGCTTTTTGACTAAGCCCAGCGTTGTGTATTCTTTATAATAAAGATACATATAAATGAAAAAACTGGCCTGCTTTTTAAACTCTTATGGGGATGGTACATGAAGGTTTACACTTGAATAATAATAATTTGCTGAAGATTGATCCAGCATATACCATATTTTTTCATCTATAAGATGCCCCATATATAAGACGCTCCCCACTTTTCTAACCCAAAATTAAGAAATCTAAGTGGGGCTTAGCAAATGTAGGGTAAAATGGATCAAAGTGCTACAGGATGGCTTTGATCCCTGCTTTCTCCCTTTGTGCCAAGCCTCACGTGGCTTATCAAAAGGAGAGGGAAAGGGATCAAAGCAATCCCACAACTGCACAGTCATTTATTATTTATTTATTTGATTGATTGATTGATTGATTGATTTACTGGCCAGGTATGTAAACCATACCCGGTATTTAATATGGCTACCGGCCACACTTAAAAACACTACACACACACACACACCATAAACAGAAAATTCACAAGACAATTAAGAGCAAATTCTACAAAAAAACCGGTTGCCTCAACTCCCAGTTGCGTCAGATGGTTACAGATTCAGCAATTTGATGGCACAGGGAAAAAAGCTATTTTGATTCCTTTCCCCCTTATATGGCCCCATGGGACTTAGCAAGCAGAGGAGAAAGCAGGGATCAAAGCGGCCCTGCAGCACTTTGATCCCTGCTTTCCTTTTGCTGAGGCTTAGTAAGTGGAGGGGAAATCAGGGATCAAGGCCCTGCAAGATCACTTTGATCCCTGCTTTCCCCTCCACTTGTTTTTTCTCTCCTCAGCTTACCTCTGTGTATAAGATGACCCTCAATTTTTAGTCTAAAGGCTTTAGACAAAAGTATAGTTTTATACACAGAAAAATATGGTAGTTACTCAGGATATCAAGTTTTGTCTGGGCTGAGAGAATAATTCCTGTAGTTAGTCTTAGTTTGGGAGACTGCTCTGAAACAATAGAACAGTGAACAACAACAAAAAAGATTTTGGCTGACCAGGAAGATTACTCAGAACTTCAGCATTTTTTCCAAACTGACGAGGACTTGCAGTTGAAATTGTACTCATTTTTGCTATGTGTATCTTAGCAGTGGATTTCAGAGTGTTTTGACTAGTAAGTGCTATGTTAGTGCTTTATTTCCTATAAAGGTACTTGTTACTTATAATAAACACCTGCAAGCAATCAGGTACTTCAGTAAATTCTCATCTAGAATTATACAAACAATTGTAGAAACTAATACTCCCTAGTAAAAATTTTGCAGAAAGCAATGGTCACGTTAAAAAAATACATTAGAAGGGCAAATCTAGAACTGCAATAGTTGAAATTTGCTACTGGTTGGCATTACAGAATGCATGCTTGGCATTTACAGCAGATATCTTCATGACTTCCCAAAAAAGAAATATGAAATGCCCCTTTAACTTACCTTAAATGGTTACATTTTTCTGGGTTTTGTATAGTAGCTCCATAGGTCCCACGGGTCTAAAATCCATGTCTGTCGGTATATGGGTGGAAAACACTCTTTCCCTCTTCGCTCGGGAGGTTATTTGGTTTTGCAAAGTGACAAAATTGAGAGTAGTAATGAACTGCTTAACCTGTCCTCTGTTTTCTGCTGTCAAGCTGCCCCTCTTTTCTAGTGGTAAGATTCTCTGCGTCTCTCGGGCTAGCCTCTATCAGCTTAAAACAACAGTTCTTATAAGGAGAGAGATGCTTATATATCATCCTTTAAGTCAGTGGTTCCCAACCTTTTTTAAACCACATCCGTGTTTAGACAAGGTGCATGTGCATCTGTGGGGTATACGTGCATCTGCATGTATGGGGGGGGCGGGAAATCTGTCTCCATGGACCGGTCCTGCCAAGGCTGTGGACAGGGGGTTGGGAACCCCTGCTTTAAGTAGCCTTTATTATATAATACACAGAAGTGGAAACCACATAAAAAGGTATGTCTGCCTTTAAAAGACATGAGTTGCAAGAGAGAAGCTGGGCAAAGAAGCACTCCCCACTCCCTTTGCCCTTCCAATTGACTTGGTGCAGTAGGACCACCCTTTCCTGGGGATAGGTTCAAAGCCTCCCTCCCTCCCCCCCCTGACTCATGGAAACACAGCTAGTGGATCCATTCAAGAGACCAAGAGTAATAAGTGTCTGCAGACTTCAGGCTTGGTGGCAGCGACACCCATGGATTGGGGGGGGGGGTATCCTATTGTATTTTTTTGCCCCTAGAAACTATCTGTATCATTTGTGCTTGTGTTATTTGCTGTTGGTTGCAACTTACTAGAAGGGTTTTGATAATAATGTGCCATCAAGTTAATTCTGAATTATGGGGGGGGGGGGGCCTTTTTTTGGGTTTTCCAGGTAGAGAAAACTCAGAAGTCCTTTTCCCTTGGGTTATGCAGCTTGCCGCAGGAGGTGCAGTGAGGAATTGAACTCCCAACCTCTAGCTTCCACAACCAGATACAGTATGTAAACCACTGAGCTATTAAGATTTGGGAATGCACACACACACACCCATTCCACGACTAAGCAGGAATTTGAATTCAGACCACACAAGTCCTACACCAACTGTCTAGCAAGTGCTCTACAATGACTGTGCTTTTACTTGCTATATAAGTTAAAAACCAAAACATATTTAAAATAGTCATCATGGCTTTAATCTTTCTTTATAAATTATATAAAAAATGGGGAACATGTATGGTTACAGAACTTTTTCTTCTAACTGCAGCTCCAAGTTGCTCTGGTACAAAGCAGCTTCTTTTTTTCCTTTTTTCCACTTCCAAGGAAAACAACTGCTACAAAAAAGTGGCACGTTATTCTGGTGAAAAAGACAAGTTCTCTGTTGTGTTTTATTCAACTGGTTTCTGCTCCCATGGGTTCACGGAAGTCCGAGTGAAAGGGGCAGGAAAGCAGATGAAGAGGACTTTAGTTTTTGAAGGAAACATTTTGAAAATAGAGCTTTTAAATCTTTCTCTGTAAATTGTGATTAGCGTTTTGTGGCACTAAGTGTTCTAATAATAATAATAATTAAAAAAAGAATTCCAGTCTGAACAGTTCACACATTGTAAGCCAAGAATCCTCAGCCCTGAGGTTTCCCAGAATTCTTCACTTGACAATATCTCTCAGTTCTGCAGCTCGGACAGTTTCATTTGCAAAAGTTTTAAGAAGCCTCGGGTGTTGGAAGAGATGTCCATTCCACATACTGCGAAACATTTCCAAAGGGTTTCGACTGTCAAAAGAATTCTGTTTTCAAACCTGGGTCTTCCTTGGCATTGTTGATTTTTTGAAAAAGAAAAATTGTTTGAAGACTGAAGAGCACTACCATCTATCATTCTGTTAGGCAGGATGGGAATTCGTTGAACGAGACCAGTCAATTCTCACGTTTGCTGGAAGGTGGAAGTGTTGCCTGTTGTGAATGAGCGCTACTCTTCAAACTGTACAATGTAAAACCCAACCTCCTGTGCCTCTAGTGGGTCCTGGACTGACCAATAGATTTTAGTCTGGCCTGGTCAATCACGTCCAGCAAGTTTTTCGCATCCACAGCCAGGGCGTGTGCTGCTGTCAGCATCTGCTTTTTGTATTCTTGCTGCAGGCTAGTCATAACGTACTGCTGAGCCAGCTTCATCTTGTTAATCAGTTCAGCAAGGTCAGAGTTCAGGAGTTTTTGAGCCATCTCAATCTGCAAAAGAGAAGATTCATGAAGGGCCAATATCAAAAGCAATTGCTGCTACAGGCTCTCAAAGTAATTTCCAACTTCTGAAAACTTAAGAGGGTTTTCCAGTTACGTGAAATGCTCAAGGAATGGTTTCCTATTGGCTATCCCCCAAACAATGTTAGCCTATGGTTTAAACAAAAATTGCAGAAAAACGCTCAAATGAGAAAACTGATTTGCATCTTAACCCTATATATTTCAAACGGGCAGAACTATAACTCTCCATGTAATGTTTGTTACACTTATAATCTCAGACCTTCTTTGATTCTCTCTCAGAAAAAAAATAGTGAAGCAGGTGAGTGTAAGTGTATATAACTGGTCCAAGGTCATGCAATGAGTTTCATGGTCAGCGAGGAGTCTTAAAACTCCTGATTTGGCAACACCTAATACAAGCAGCATGACTAGTATACAGTTGCTTGCCTGCTTTAAACAGTTCTCTCTTAAAAGAAGCACAAACAGTAACCATACAATGGTTTAATGTGAAAGAATATAGGAGGCATTCCCCTGTCCCTGTGTAAGAATGAAAGGTTCCAGGGAGTATTCTGATCAGCCGTACAACATAACAACAACATAACAAATTCCAGAATACACAAGAGCAAACTGGAATGAATACGGTGAATGTTTGATGTACACTTAGATAAGGCTATGTAAAAACTGGTCCCAATACTTAACTATGGAAAGGCTATGCGGCAGAAGCCTTCAGAGAAAGAAGCGTAGGGACTTGCTCGACAGCCATCTTTCCTGCAGTGATCATGAGTGAAAGTTCTTCATACAGGAATTACCAGTACAGCACAAAGGCAGAGTGTCTGTGCTTATGTGAGTCACTGCTAGGAACAGATAACCTCCCTCCGGTTGTGTGTTATTCACCTCCTATGGCCACAGGTGTGTTCTACACCGATGGTGATGACGAGATACTCGTCTAATGTTTCTACTCTTGTTCATCAGAACATATTGCTCAAATATCAAAATGGACTGAAAGTCCTCAGATCACTTTGTTGTATCCCTGTGAGACAACTTTTGAGTATGCACAAAAAGGACATTGTTTTGTATGGAAATATGGTCACAAGATACGTATTAAATAGTGTCAGGAGAGCTGGACCATAAAGAAGGCTGACCGCTGAAGAATTGATGCTTTGAATTGTGGTGCTGGAGGAGACTCTTCAGAGTCTCCTGGACTGCAAGGAGAACAAACCTATCCATTCTGAAGGAAATCAATCCTGAGTGCTCACTGGAAGGACAGATCCTGAAAATGAGGCTCCAGTACTTTGGCCATCTCATGAGAAGAGAAGACTCCTTGGAAAAGATCTTGATGTTGGGAAAGTGTGAAGGCAAGAGGAGAAAGGGACAACAGAGGATGAGATGGACAGTGTCATCAAAGCGACCAATATGAATTTGACCCAACTCTGGGAGGGAGTGGAAGACAGGAGGGCCTGGTGTGCTCTGGTCCATGGGGTCACAAAGAGTCGGACACAACTAAACGACTAAGCAACAACAATAATCTGCTGTTCTCACAATCAAGACACGTGAGATGGACTATGTTACCCTTTATATTAGTTAGCATAGTTTCATTTCTTTATTTTTCCAGCTGGAGTGGGGGGAGTGGAGTGTTCCGTTGGTCTTGAATGAAAATGTACCTACTAAACTATATTACTATCAACTGAAACCTTTTCTAAAGCAATTCTTTTTAATAAAACAGTAATGATTGATTTCTATCTAGAAGCATTGTTTCTTGAACAGACTAGCTGAATGTCTAATTGGCCACGTGTGTTTGCTACCCTCAATTATAGAGCCAGTTTGTTCTGAGTATGTGTCAGTGTGTGTTGCTTTCTTAATAAGGAGACTGGCCTCTGAGGAAGAAAATTTAGACAGAACCCGGCTGAGTTTCAAGTGGCTCTGCTCAGCAGTTAGAGGTTTGTCTGGTTTTTGTACTCGTCCCAATTTCCGGCACCCCCATAAATCTTCTTGGAGATACGGGGCTGCTTTACAAGCTCCACCCACGTTTCCTGGCTCAGGAAGAAAGCTCTCAGCAGCGGGGCAGAAACAGGAAGGTTGGGCAGAGCTAGGCCTAACACAGCCTCAAAGCTTTTGTACTGTAGGTAGAACTAGAACAGAGAATTACGGTACTTGTAGTCCAGAATATCCAAAAATCCCATCTATAGTCTCGACTGCCTTGTCAAATATGCAATTGTACTACTTGCCAATTAGATTCAGCAAGCTCCTCAAATGCAAAGAGTATTCCTGCCTTTTGAAACCTTAGCCTTTGATGCCTGAACTGACCGTTGATTCACACAATAGCTGTAAGCAGCACCCTTTAGTTACAGCGGCCTGGAAAGATACAGCGTTTTGTTCCATATTTTAGAGAAGCAGCCATTGTTCCAAAGCAAGGCTCTGGAAACCTCTGGCCATGGAAGTGTGCAATCAAAGAGGGCCCAAAATAAAGGCTACCCCATTGAATAAAACGTCTTAAAAATACAGAATGTTCTGTTCACGATGGATCTTGTTACTCAAACCTGCTGTTGTTACACTTGAGAGAAGCAGAGAAAAGATCCCCCTGAAGGTGACAAGGATTACAAGAAAACAGAATTACTTGAAAAGCTTTCTTTTGAAGGTAAAGGTTCCCCTTGACAATTTGTCCAGTCGTGTCCGGCTCTAGGGGGTGGTGTTCATCTCTGTTTCCAACCCATAGAGCCAGCGTTTGTCCGAAGACAATCTCCTGTGGTCATGTGACCAGTGCGACTAGACACAGCCTTCCCACCAAGGTGGTACCTATTTATCTACTCGCATTTTTACATGCTTTCAAATGGCTAGGTTGGCAGGAGCTGGGACAAGCAATCTTTCAAATGGCTAGGTTGGCAGTAGCTGGGACAAGCAATGGGAGCTCACTCCATCGCATGGATTCGATCTTATGACTGCAGTTCTTCTGACCTTGCAGCACAGAGGCTTCTGTAGTTTAACCTGCAGCACTAACTCATCCTTTTTTTTTCTTTTGAAAGCACTACATAAATGCTAAGAAAAAAATAACAAAGGAATTGGAGATTGTCAAGTATCTAGACAAGTTGTTCATGGGCAACTGAATGTACAAACTGAATGTACAACATTCATGAAAATAACAAAGGAATTGGAGATTGTCAAGAATCTAGACAAGTTGTTCATGGGCAACTTAATGTACAAACGGAATGTAAAATATTCATGCACACACACACACACACCCCTTCACAGTTGTGAGTCTGGCACAGTTTTCCGTGTTTCCACTGGACATGTTAGTAGCCCTGTATGGAGATGTTTTAAGAAAGGGGGAAAAAGCTCTCCTACCTTTACCATGGGGACATACTCCTCTGGCGGTGCTGGCTGGATTTTGCTGGACATCTCTATGACTGCCTTCACCAGGCCGGTGACATTCTCGTACACTTTGTCATTGGAACGATCCAGGTTGGCTGTTGGGGGAGGGCTGATTTCCTGAGGCTGAATCTGGAAGGAAGGAGATGGGTTACTCCCTCATTCTTCCCCACCAGATGGCACTGTCCATCTACTCTCTTAGGAAGCCTTTTTGCTGCAATAGGAATTCTTCCCTCCCGTTAAGGCACACATTAAGGCACAGGGGGCAGGCTGATGGAATCCCAGAAAGGCTTCTAGGACACCATGCCAAAAAAACTGGGGACTGAAAGAAAGCTGAGCAAAAATTTAAAACCAGAGAGGGACCAAGCTGGTTTTGTTGTCTTTCAATCCATCTCACAGACTAACTGATGAGCCCTTGGAAGACGCTGGACTGCATCCAGACTGATGATGTGATACTATACATATCAATTCATAAGTTTTGCAGGATGCCATTAGTGCACATTCTCAGCCAGTTAGTCACACCTCAAGGATTTCACAGATTTCAGCACACACACAGCGTGGATCCAGCCCACAACACTTCCGACGCTGGATCAGGTGGGCAGCCTACTGCTTAACGTATCCCTCTCTTGAACAACATGGCCTAATCCCACATACAGTGTCTTTCTAACCTTTCTGTGTGCAGGGCTCCCATTAAGCTCCCTGTTGTGGAACGGAAAGGGATGTAGGTGTCCCAACAACATTTTCTGAAAACCTAGGCAAATTCATCACTCCTTTTTTTGAAAGCTTAGCCAACAACCGTAGATCAATAAAGGACACGTAGGATAGTAAGACCTCTGGGTTGACACAACGAGGATGGTAGCCTCAGGGCTAGAACTAATACAGAACCAACAACATGGTGCTTGCATATACCTGGGAGGGGAGGGGATCAAACGTGGGAAATTCAATGCAGCTTCCACTTGTACAACTGGTTGCACAAGCAGATGTGTGCCTTCAGACCACAGAACAATGGCACTTCCACTTGTGCATGTGGCAGAAGCAAAAGAACTCCACTAGTGCACCGTTTCCTTCCACTCATGTCCAATCGATTTTGGCCAAATGCGACTTGGACACTTCTTTACTCAAGCCACTGACATTTAACAAGCAAACGAGGAATCCAGACATGAGACAGCTGGTGGCATTTGGAGGAATAGAAACTCTAGACATTGTGTTTCCATTTGTACTTCTCATAGGTAAAGGTTCCCCTTGACAATTTGTCCAGTCCTGTCCGACTCTAGGGCGCGGTGCTCATCCCCGTCTTCAAGCCGTAGAGCCAGCGTTTGTCTGTAGACCGTTTCCGAGGTCACATGGCCAGCGCAACAAGACACGGAACACTGTGACCTTCCCACCATAGTGGTACCTATTTATCTACTCGCATTTTTACATGCTTTCGAACTGCTAGGTTGGCAGGAGCTCAGACAAGTGACAGGAGCTCACTCCGTCGCGTGGATTCGAACTGCTGATCTTTCGACCTTGCAGCCCAGAGGCTTTGCGGTTTAACCCGCAGCGCTACCACAGCACCCTAAAAGTGGAAAGGATGGAGGGAAAAGGCTGACAGTGATGGCAACAGGACAACACATGTATGTAGCAGGTGGACAACCCCCCCATCTGAACCATACTTTGCCTAGCTAGTACTGGGGGAAGTGTGGCCCTCCAGATGCTGCTGGACTACAACACCCATCAATTGTAGCTAGCAGTGAGGCATCATGGAAGTCGTAATCCCAGAACCTGTGAAGGGCCCCTTAATCTTCTGACAGTCCAGACAAAACGATTGCAATGTTCTTATGCTGGGTCTTCTCATAAAACATCTGGGCTGGCCAGCCACTTTTGGAAGAGGGGATGACCTCACTTTCCAAAAGTCCAGCGTGCCATATAAAGGGGATAGATAGACAAGTTACAAGTATTTTCCTGGGATGGCAAGGAGAAAGGACAGAAGGGTGTGAATGAAAAACAGTCTTTCTTGCCTTACCGCTAGAGCCTCCTTCCGTTCTCAAAGGGACTGGCCATGGGGGTGTTATATTAAGTCAACAGGAGAGCAAGCAGACGGGCAAGTGTCTGTGACATGACGGAATTAGATGAACAACTATGGTACAGAACTACACTGAACAGAGAGCTTAAACCTCATTCACAGCACTCTGCATCACTCATAAAGATACTGCTGCCTTGGCCCTTTACAGTGCCTTAGCTGTACAGTAATTTTAGAAACTCCTCCGAAAATTCGTAAGTCCCTGTTGTGTGATGTCAGCTGTGGCCTAAACCTTCCTATCCCTCGAACCTGGCAACTCTCTACGCCACCCCTCCTGCTCTGAAGAGAAAACCTTCATTGCTAAGAGTCTTGGAACGGGAGGTGGTTTCTGCTCTATTCTGATCTGGATCATTATCCCTGCAACAGAAGCACATGCAAAGAATGGTGTTTGTGAAAAGCAAGAGGGGCCGCCACACAGTACTCATACGAGACCACAAATACACATGTGTGCTTACCCGCCATGGCTAGTGTCGAGCAGAGTTTGAGGGGTGGTTAAAGAAATTTATCAGAAGAGGAAGGAAAAAGAGAGAAAACAAAAGAAAAACACAATGTTAATAAATGGCAGTAGGGCAAGGGGGAGTCCAAAATATGAGAACAGCAGCAAGAGAGACCTGTTAAAAAGCTCCTGGCCCGAAGTGCCCCCAGTCCCCCCTCCCACTCAGTCATGTTAGCTGCTCCCCCCACCGTTCAAAGCAATGCCTGGGCCCTTGGAAAGAAACAGGATCTGCCATGCACCCCTAAAAAGTGAGCATGCAAACAAAAGCAGGGACCAACCATTCTGGAGAGTCGCAAAAGAATTAACAGCATTAGGGTTCCTCTCTCAAATTGGGGGGGGAGTAAATGGGCCTGCTTTGGACGTGCCAGACTCCCTGCACAAAAGCTGAGGTCATGTTGGCCTTTCTTGGGATGCATTGGGGGGGGGGAGTGGCAAACACTCAGTAGAAGGAACCATTTAGTCATCTAATTGCATTGCTCCTGGTTGGTCAATCCCTTGCCCAGATTCTTTACTGAGGGATGGGGTTTGGAGGCCACTCACTAACAACCCACTTGATTGCTATGCTGAAATTCTATGGCTCTGGCATCAGAGTTAATCTGTCTGGCTAGCAGCTCATTTTTGTAATGTTTCCCTGCCCTTTCTGGAGCCAACAACAACAGGATTCTACCACAAACTAAACGGCCAGGGTTATCTGCGCAATGCTTGGCTGGTTTTCCCTTGGCAAATAACATTGATTTTTCAAAAAAACTTTAAAAATGCACTCAACTTCAAATTCTTCCGGATTAAGAAGCTCAGCTCGAGTCTTGTAATTTCTACTTGTGTTTTTTTTGTGGGGGAGAGGAGAGGGATTTGTATAGTCAAGCCTTGCACTGGTTGGTTTTATACAAACTAAAAATTTCAGGAAAAGCTTCTGTGTTTAGCTTGGCAGGTTCTCACAGAGCCACGTTACATTAAAACAGAAGGTTTTGTGGCTTCCTGAGGGAGGGGGATCAGAAAATTCACTCCAGGATGACAGACAGTGAAGAAGCTACTCCACTTATCTGAAAAGAAGCCACTCATTGAAACTCCAGTTTTCCAGAAACCAGAACCAAGTAAATCTATATTGCTGGTCATTTGTAGAATCCACTCTCTCCCTATTCTAATTTGAAGACTGTGCCTATGTTCTCTTTTCCACATCTCTTATCTACCATTTTTTTAAAAAAAAATGTTTATGCAGGAATTTTAGACTCAAACCCTGGGATTAGTTAATCGTCCCGAAAATAACAAAACAAGAAGTTCTGAAGCTTGGCAGCTTGAGAGCACAGTTTGCAGCAAAACCATCTTTCTATAAGAGAGCCAGCTGTGTCTGCTCATGCTGACTTTTAAACACCGAGACAACGGTCTCCTTGCTTATTCCACAGATGGAAATAAATTGGGCCTGCCTTAAAGTCCTCCAGCCAAAGACTTAAAATAGATTTTACTTAATGAGAATCTCCGTTTTCCTCACCAAACAAGAACAGAACTCTTGGGAAAGCTTAGGATATTCTATTTAGGGTCCCTTCATTTCTTGAGAAATAAACGAACTGACCTTGAATGGAAAGCAGCTGTCTTACGGGAGCAAGACTACAAGATGCTCACAGCTGGCCTCTAAACCAAGGTTTGGCTCAGGAGCCAGCATACAGTGACAATGGTCATCCCGTGTCGTTTCCGCCTCTGGCAGCAGCTACACCAAGGCATAATACCTCTGGCAACAAGGAAAGGAAACCACACGGAGTTTCCTTTCCGGGCTCATAAGCCCAGGTAGATGGGTATTGTGTGCCTCTATCTAATATCCATTTTTAAAAGGGATTCTAAAACTCAGTTACATTCTGCCCAGATTTATCATAGCCAGTGTATGAGTTTATTATGTGCTCCACCTCCCTTTCCACCCACTTTTCCTCTTAGCAGGTCATTTGAACAAGGAAACAGCTCCACAGATATCGAGGACAGTCTCTCTGTGTGGGGTGATTTATTCATGATGCACATTTAAGGCAACCTACTCAAGCAAGAGCACGGTTGTTAGAGCAACACCCTAAACAGGGAAGCCTCTTACGGCTTTAGATTTCCCATGGACAGAGGATAAGCAGACTTCAAAAACACAGCTGGCTTTTTTTTTCCGAGAGCCTCCAAGAGGCCACGTTTAAGCTAACACGGAGAATAAAACCGTGGCTTAAGCATAGTTTGTATGTGTGTCTTAAAGGCTGTATCCATCCTCAGCTTTAGAGAGGAGAGGCACACACACACGCACACACACACAAAAACCCCAACTGAATACACATGAGAAAAACAGTAATCCCCAGTCAGGACAGCAGTGAAAAAAAAAGTCTGTGTATCATAAAATGGAACTGCCATTATAGAAAAGGTAGTGTCAAATGCATAGCCCATAGAGAAATGGGATCATCATCCCATGTGGTCCTGAAAATTATCCCTGCTGGGAGCAGGACCCAGCCTCCTCCTCCAGCCTATTTCCAGGTACCTGTGCAACTTGCGTCTCAGTTGCCAACTAAGGTAGAACACAACCACACTCATTTCCTTAAGGACTCAGTAGAACTTGGAGGGTTGAAAACTGGATTCCTCACAGAAGCCAAGAGACTTTCAGCCTTGGTTATAAAGCTTGGGTTCAAAGACCTATTCCTGCTAAAGTCAAGGGAATATGGGGTTTGCATTTCTCAAGCACACGGCAAACCATCTCTGAAGCTGAAGATAAGTTTGAAACCTAATTACAGTGGTGCCCAATTTCGCTTAGCGATGTTATCGCTTAGCAACGTTTTTCCGGGACGGACTAACGTCGCTAAGCGAGGCACCACTGTATGGTATGGCACAGAAATCTACTTGTTAGAAGGAAAGAGCCAACGACCTTAAAGTTGGAAGTAAATGCTTCTTTAATTCATGGGTAACCATGATGGGAGACAACAAACAGCAAACTCTAACCTTATTGAGGGTCTGGGGAAGATTCTGGTCCTGAAGGAGCCCTGTGGCACAGTGTTTAAACTGCAGTACTGCCGGCAAAACTCTGCTCAGAACCAGGGTTCAATCCCAAGTAGCTGGCTTGAGGTTCACTCAGTCTTCCATCCTTCTGACCTTGGTAAAATGAGTACCCAGCTTGTCGAGGGTGGGGGTAAAATGAGTACCCAGCTTGTCGGGGTGGTGGTGGTGAGAGAAGCAATGTGTCTCCTGCATAATTAAATTGTAAACTGCCCAGAGAGTGCTTTAAGTACTATGGGGCAGTATATATGCGGCATGCTTTGCTTTGAAGCAAGTTTTGCTTTGCTCTGCTCGGATTCCTGGTATAAGCAGCATGCTTTGCTTTGCTCTGCTCGGTTTCCAGGATTCCTGAGCAGTTAACCAGAAAAGATGCTCAGCTCTTCATATGGGCAGTTTATAGAAAAGCAACTCTTCACATGTTTAGAAGCCTCAAGGAAGAAGGTGGCAATAGTATTTGATACTTAAGTTATTATGAAACCTCTGAACAACAGAACAGCAAGATTCAACAGTATAAGTGTACAATACTGGTGTACCTAAAATGTACCAAGCATTCACCAATCAGCAGGAAAGGTAAATCTATGTTACAACTGGCATAACGGAACAAGTAATATCAATGGTATATCATAAGACCCACATTCTCCTATTCCTTATTGGCAGTGAGAAAAATAGGTTTGCCATGAACTTTGGGCACAAGACCTCATTTTGAAAGTTAAAAGTTTGACTCTTGGCTTGCAGGTGGATCTTACAGCCATCGGCAATAGAATCAGTCGGGCCCCGACATCCTGAATCTATTATTAACTAGCTGCAATCTATTATTAACTAGACACAGCATACAGTGAACACTTCCTTGTCTCAGCTATCGTGTATTATGGATACGGAAGAAAATGACATAGACACACTTTTATTCTGATTGGTCAGGAAGGGGTTTAGTTAATGGATATTCAAGGATTTCATCTGTTCTGCAGTTTAAAGCAAGCCAATCCAACTCATACTTCCTGGATACGCAAAATGGAATGCCACAATCCTTTGGTTTTTGCACTTCTTGTATTTTCCAGTATAGTTAGTTCTTGGCTAAAAAAAACACATGTACCAAACAGCATATAAAATGTGTATTTTAAGTCCATATATATATCTTTTTTGTTAGAATTCACACAGAAGACATAACTTGGGGTAAAATATTTACACATGTGCAAACGAGAAGAGGGAACATACTCCAATTTAAAGGTGTATCAAACAGATAGACTGCAAATGAACGGATCCATCCATCCCACCTTTGGGTATTTTGACCCACCTCTCAATTAGCAACCGTAATGTTTTGACTAGAAGGTGTCTTGATCAGAAAGAGCAACTGAGTCTACCTTAACCCCTTCGTTGTAGCTGTCCACAGGACTGTTCAGGCTGGCGAGGCTGCCCAAATGGCTTGGCGCTCCTGGGCGAGGAGGTTTCTTTGGTGGGGCAGAGTGATCTAGTGACAAAATATTTTGCACAGAATAAGAAAAGAAACTGCCATCCTCCTCTAAAACTTGACACAGTGTATGGCCCTGTGGGTACTAAATGTAAATGCACTTGAAAATGCCATCCTCATGTAGCAGAAACCCACCTACTCCTTTATCCAATCCCCACAATAAAAGATCATGACCCACAATCCCAAAATCAGGAGCCCTTTATAGTTTCTAGGAGACTCTGATGTCTTTCAACAGATACTCTGACTTTGTATGGTATGTAATGGGAAAAGAAAGTTTACCTCTTCCCTTTAAAAATCTAGGCCACAATTCTCAAACTAGCTTGGGAAGCCCCTTTAAAACTCTGTATTACTCAGGAGGCATCACTGCCACTTCATACAAACATGGTTAAATCCTTATTTTTGCTTATCCACCCTCTACAGTATTTTCTGAAAAACAGAAGTGATACAAAGGGAGAGTCCATATTTTGACTGTGACATAGCATATTTTGGCTTACCTGGTTTTCCCACAGGCTGATAAATATGCTGGTTAGAGACCTGCAAAGGGAAAATGGATTTAATTAATTTCTTTGCTGTTTATGAACAAAGAAAACCTTCCATCTACCTCTCCCCCCTCCCTGCATTCCACAACCACAAACATCAGACTTATCCAAGCACAGGAATTTCCAGCATATTTCCCCTCTCCCATCACTCTTAAATTTCAGGGCAAACCAACTATTAATGTAAATCATGTTTTTAAAAAATAAAACAAAATTCTTTCATCTCTCTCTCTCTCTCTCTCTCTCTCTTTTTCTTTCTTTGTATCTCTGTGGTACATCCATTCTCATTGCTACCGTTACTCAGACAAAATGACATGCTGTTCCATGATTTGCATGTTCAGTCCAAGATATCTGTTAGAATGTATGCATAGAAATCTTCATCTCGAGAGGTTCATGGCTTAAGTCTCCCAAATTATTGCTTGACTTCGTAACAATGGACATAAAGAGCCCCAACTGCTAGTTTAGGGAAGCTATATAACTGGGCTGGAATCTAATCACTTTTCTGCCAGCTGAGATAAAAGCCTGATCAATTAACGCACAATATGACATTTGCATCTGCCATGTGGTCACTGAGTTCTTGGAAAACATTCGTTTAGAAAATCCTAGTGTGTTTTTATGGGAAGGCGTCTGCACAGAAAAAGTTTTCTTTTGCAAATCAGAAGTGCTGACATGGACAAGACTACACAGAAAATCTGAGCCAGGCATTTTTATTGCAGAAAAAGCAACCTGGGATAGAAAAAGACAGATTTTCCACAGCTGTAGGATCTTAAATCTATCAAAGCAAAACACACGTGCATTGGACTGGTCAAATCTTTTTACAAAAATCATTATCTACTAATCTACCATTTGGTGCCTACCCTGTAAAATAAAGCCAAACTGCAGCATCTGTACAAACTCAGTTGCCCCCTTCAATTAATTAATCCAGGATAATTCTTTGTACTGATTCACTCAACATGTTCTAACCCACTGTTCTAGTAACAGCAAACACTTAGTGATGGAATATACTGAATGCTCACAACTCTCCAGAGAAAATGTGAAAACCTGCAAAGCTAAGAGCTGGTCTAAAGTGTTGACAGAAGAGAATACATGGGGCAATGAATCACAGAGAAGCAAGGCAGGGGAATAAGGAAATTTCAACCTCTATCATCCATGTGCCCCTGGATGACAGGCAGCTTCCCCCCCCCCCAGCCAAGACAATTGCTGTCTTATTCTGTACTCTTCTTCCTTCAAGACAGCACAAGCCACCACCTGGCTCCAGGGTTCCAGTTCTTGGTGCTCTGGATTCACAGAATACTGCTGGGAAGGACTAGATGAACATGCCAGGATGGGTTTGTCCAAATGCTACTGGACTGCTGAAGGAGAGACAACGGAATCAACTGGAGAACAGTTGAGTCAACCCTTGCCGAAATTATTTTGCTATGGTCTCTGGATTAAGCAATACCTGTCCTCTGAAGATGCCGGCCACAGAGACTAGTGAAACGTCAGGAAGAAAAACCTCAAGAACACAGCCAGACAGCCCGAAAAGCCTACAACAACCGATAAAGATTCTGTCTGTCTTGCCCAAATCCCATCATTCAATGGACCTCTCCTACCTGGGACTACCAACTGGATTCAGGCCCTTGCAGCCTGCTTTCAACTGCACAAAGCTCCTCTTTGATTAGTCTTGTCAACCAACATGGCTACAAATTCTGGTTAACTGTGTCCATATTTTTAAATAACACAGAAATGTTCTGCCAGTGTGCTGTTTTTTTATAGTCATACTACATCTTGTGGTACAGAAGGACAGTTTTAAGCTGGGCAACACTTTTGAAGGATTACTAGAAGCTACAAACAAAATAGGAAAATAAATTACACGATGACTTGTGGATCAATCAGTTACTTTATTTGTAACATCATGTGATCAGAGATAAGGGTACTGTACTGCCAAATCTTAAACTCTGATTCCGTGAATGGATCGTATAGCTGGGGTTTTTTTTGCACATAAATCAAAAGACACTACAGGTCGAACCAATCCCCTGTTTAAGTTGTTTTTGCTACAAAGAATGATACAATAGGTCTGGGTTTTTTTAGCTGCGCTCCTTAAAAGTAATATGCCAACTTCCACAAGATAAATACTGCACATCTTTTGACATCATTCTATATATGTACCCATTTAGTTAGCATGTGCTCCTGCTACCTATGCTATGTTTCTGTTGAGAGCCTCAGCAGTTACTAGCAATCTCAGATATATCCCCCACCCCCAGGACTGTTCGGCAACAGACATAATCCCAGAATACAGCTGTGTCAACTTCCTGCCTGAAATCTCCAAGTGAGATAGTCAGGAGGAGTCAAAGGCACACTGACCAAAAACCGAAAGCAGGCCTGCCCTTTTGCCTTCGGCTCACAATACATGAGCAGAGAAGTCTCTCCCGTGTACTGGCGAGCTTGAAACTCGTCAACACGGAGAAAGACTAGGTTGGCAAATAGACAAGTTGAGGCAGACAATCTCCAGTACTAACGGCAAGGCCCTGCGGCAATACCCTGTCTCGCCAGTTACAACATTTTTATCTCCGTTGTGAAAGCAAAAAAATTCTTGCCCAGTAAAGCCAAGGTAAGGAATGAGTTCTGAAGAATTCCTTTTCAGTGTTACAGCTGTACCTCAATATAACGAGAGAGGTGAACTAAAAAAACAGTCCTAACATAACCATGAACAGAGGGGCGAGCGGGAAAGAGGTCACCAGCCATCTAACTACACTTTTATGGTCTGGATTAGTTTTAAAGAACAAGGCAGATGTTTTCTGAAAGTAAATCAAGCTCACTTATCACCACCCATAAGATTCTACTCCAGATTCCCGTTACTTTGAGAAATGCTCTCTATTCCAACATATTCAAGCACTGTATTGGCATTTTACTTTCTCTAACAGAGGCAGCAAGGCAAACTTGATTTTTGCACACTGAGCCCAGACGGGTTGAGTACCACGCAGCTGCTTTAAATATAATTAATGGCTCCATGCGCAAGAGGAGACTGCATCTATTCCAGCAGCAGCAAAAGGAAAGGAAGCAGCCCCAGAAAAAGTGCTGCGTGAACAAGATTTTCCTGCCACCAGTGTTCTTGGAGAAACCGAGCCTCCTAAAATCTCTCGCAGAAACATAATCATCACGGAAGCCTAAGCAAAGCAAATCTCATCTCCCATGATCAGTGGGATGTTAACAGCATTTTCCACTGAGGACATCAAACAAACGTTTCTCTTGATAGATAAAAAGATAGCATTTTGTGCTTACCGGACCCTGGAGACTCCCATCTTCTCGATCTATGCTCCCTCTGGAGAGCCTCACGTCGGGTTTCTGAGGAAATGAAAAGAGACGTGGTTTTGTACTGAGGGGTTTAAAGAGCTTCACAAGTCAAACAACCTAGCAATATGAATTCTTACTAAAGGCATTAAAGAAAGCACTGCTGGAAAAAAAAGGAAAGAAAAAAAACCCACACGTTATGCTTTGACTAATGCAGATGCTATTACATTCCTTCTATTCATGCTTCCGCCCTATCCCCCAGAGCAGGCTCTTGCAAAATCCAGCGACTCAACTTTCCAGCAGCTTTCTAAAGAATATCTCACTTTGCTCTTTCTGTTTGTACAAAATAAGACTTTTGAGATAAATATTGATAGTACCATTTCCCCAATACAACATTGGAAAACCTGCATTTTAATTCTCTCAAGAAGAGGAGGAGGAGCAGCACCACCAACACAGCCGACGTTTATTGCCCTTTTCTTCCTAACAGTGAAATTTTCAACCACAGGATGAGAAACGCTGCACATTAATTCCTGTTTCCTGCTTGAGGAAGGCTTAAATGTACTTGGCTCCATCTCCAAGCTTCCCAAATGGGGCCAATTACCAAAAGCGTTTTAAAAGCACAGAGACGCAGAAACTCTGTTAGGCAGCCAGGACAGAATATTCCTCCATTAGCAGGCTGAGAAATCAGCAAGCTTCACTTTTCATTACCTCTTCTGAAAAGCCAGAGAGATAAAGAAAAGCCTGCTGGATTTTAAAAATGAAAGGGTTTGTGGATTGTGCAATATTCAAAACTGAAGTTTGGAACAGAGTTTCTGCAGTACTTATCGGTGGAAAATAATATCCAAAACACTTTAAAAAAACACTTTTATTTGTTTTCAAAAACAAATCAAAGATCAAAAATAATTTAGGTAACGTCTTGATATTTAAAATATTGTTTTAAAAGCTATCATTCACTGTAAACCACCTTTACACAACAGGATTATTCAGCAGTGTTGTATGATTGCTATAAAAGCACATGCAAACCTCCACTGTGGATACACAAGAAAAAAAAGGCTATTAAATAAAATGTGAGGTCAAAGATAGGCTAAAACAGAACATCTTCAGCAGCATTTTGGAAGAACAGAATGGTTGATTCCAATAGTTTATTTCCTGTATTAAATCTCATTTAAAAAAACCACAAATAGAGCCAGCCCCATCAGAACACGATGGGGCTGGGGGAAAAAACACAAAAACACCCATCCACACACACAGCCAGCCTCAGTGGAACATGATGGGGCTGGAGAAAAAACACCAAAACACAAAAAACATCATAGCACAGAAACATAACCCCCCCCCAAAAAACCCAAACCCACCCTGCAAAACAAAGTAAATGTACTTACTCAGGAGCAGAAAGCAGCTCCAGGCAGTCCAAAGCCTCCTCCCACACACTCATTCTAACCGTTGGGGCGAAAGAGCTACAAGAAGCAGCCTCTTTGCCACCAACGGTTAGCAAATTTGAATTCCCCACCTTTTCCCCCTGCCTTTTTCTGGCCGCAAGTCGAAGCAAAATTTTGCAGCCGGAGCTGGTCGCAACTCGAAATGGCCATATGTCGGGACGTTCGTCAAATACCACTGTATTTGACATAGATATGAACCAGGGAGACCCAAGCTGGAACCTCGGTCCAGTTGTAAAATGTATCAGGTAGCTTTCGCTAACTATTCTGTCCTCACAGGATGTTTGTGAAGAAAAACCTAGACTCCTTTGCTACATCTCCTCTTTCTCCCTGGTGAATGATGTTGTTCCTATACAGCAGTGGTCCTCAACCTTGGGCCTCCAGATGTTCTTGGACTATAACTCCCAGAAGCCTTCAACACCACCTCTGCTGGTCAGGATTTCTGGGAGCTGAAGTCCAAGAACATCTGGAGGCCCAAGGTTGGACACCGCTGCTATACAGTGCAAATAAAGTGATGCTGGGCAAATTATAGTTCTCTGGATACAATTCCCACCCACCCTCGCCAGGATGGCCCATAGAGAGAAATTAGGAGAGCTGAACGATTTCTGGAGGCCCATACATCTCCACCTATGGATTAAGATACTGGAAATATCCAAACATTGGTTACAGGGGTAAATGACCCAATTTGTTCACCTTTAGGCAGGGCATCCTTTAAAACTGTAATGCATTGACTACAAATGGACTCTACTCAAAAAAAAAAAGGACTCCACATTACAAAGTGTAATGAGTGGAAGGGGACGTCTTGCAAGAAGAATGCTAAAACGTGCTTAGTTCTCGATCTCTTCCTGAATCCTCTCCTCACCCATTTCTGCTCTGCCTGCCCCATGTAATATGTCCCATTTCCACTCAAGACCTCCCTGGAGATTTGGGGAATTTTCCTTTGGAAAATCCAATTAATAGTAATATTTTGCCTTTAAAATGTTCTTGACGCTAATTTCTTTTTAAAGAAAGAAAGAAAAGTGTATCCTGCCTGTGAGCCTATCAGAAATAACAATCCTTCAGCCTTCATTCCTGGGGAATTCAAATGAGAATTCAACCTGCGGCTGCTTGAACGTTTCTCTCTTTGACTTTGGCTCCAACTTCTCAGGAGTCTATATAAAAGGGAAATCAGGGGAAAGGAGAGCTGCTGGATGGATCTACAGTCTAGAACCCAGGACTCTTGCTTGCTTTGCCACCCTCTGATATTTTAAAGAAAATCTTACCCAGTCTATTTGCTCTTCACTGACTCCATGGCCTCACCCACATGACTGATTTGGAGCAATAAGTTCTCCACCCAGTATCCTTTAAGCACCCTCTGTTTTGTTTTTTTTTTCTGAGCTTATTCTCCAGGAGTAAGTAACACTCTGCTTAACAGGGCAAAAACTGGCATCCACTACTTCAGGGCAAACGTCAGAAAAGTGAAATGTGCACAGACCTCATTTAGCTGAATTCTTTTGGGAATGTCAAGGATATCATTAGCACCGACTCACCCCTCTCTGGTGAGGAGAAGCAGAGAGCTTGACTGCATTCCATGTGGTCTTTCATTAATTCAGTGGGAAAAAATGCATACACCATTCTCAATAAAGGAAAAGAACTACAGGCTTTATTAATTTTTTTTGCCCTTCTTCTTAAAATAAAAACCAAGTTTAGCACAAAGTTCCATTAATTTCCCTGTTCCTGTTTCCATGGTCTTAGTCAATCTAGGACAAATACTGAGTTTTGTTAATGTGGGAATTTTTGTAAATTCACCCACCCCTGTAAATAAATAAATAAAATAATCAAAGGAGATCATTCCATGTCAGTTATTCTATCCCTCAGGGATGGAGGGGCCAGAAGGAGGCTGTGCAGGGTCCCTAGCATGAAACCCGGCCCTTCCCCTCTGCCATAAACATAGACACTTTGCTGAAATCATGCGATAACTCATGCACACATCTTTCAGTATGACACTGACAGAAAAGGATCCAAAGTGGTAACAAAATCAAGAAACTGACCCAGCGAATAACAGTTTGAGAAAAATAAGACTGTAGACATCTGGATATAACATTATACTGATGGTGGGAACGGTTTATCTTCTGTATCTCAGCTTCTAGATCAGGCTTGTCCAACCTGTGGCCCGAGGGCCGCATGCGGCCCAGGTCAGCTCATAATGCGGCCCAGTGCAATTTTTTATTTTTAAAGAAATTCCAAAGTTTTAAGTTACACTGCTGGCACTTGCAGCCGGAATGTGGCCTGGGCATGTCACAACAGTAGAGGGGGAGAAAGGGAAGGAAGGAAGGAGTGGGAGGGGAGGGGACAGGGGGGCTGTGGGACTGCATTGCGCTGTCCTCGTCAATAGGTGGCCCCCCTCCGGGCCCCATAAAGCTGCCAGAGTCGAAGCTGGCAGCCTCTGCTGTCTGAGATCACAGCTGCCGGTAAGGGCGCTTGGAGCAGGACTGCAGAGGCTGCCCCCCCATGCGGCCCAAACCAAATGTATGTGCAGCCCAAACCAAATTTTCATCTTCTGATGTGGCCCAGGGAAGGTGAAAGGTTGGACACCCCTGTTCTAGATCTTCCTATTCATTACTTCCCACTTGCCCACATTGTGGGTAGCCTGTTCAGTCCTACACAATCTGGTTAATCAACAACACCCCAATGCATACATGGAAAGGAAGATTTAGGGGTAAATTGACCAGATCAGATGTATTTCTTTCTTCTCCCACAGAATGCAGAGAGTAACCCAGGATCTCCAAACTTCTCATTTCCAAGCAGAAAGAAATACAACAGACACTTCAGTCCACCTAGCTAACTCCAAGGACTTCTGCAAAAAACCAAGTGGCTCCTTTGGGCATGTTATGAAATAGCATGGCACTGTACACAGCTAGTCCTGGTTACAGAATGCACAACCCAAAACTGGCCAAAAGTCTCTAGATTCCGTTAAAACCCAAACAGAGTTTCCTTAACTGAAGTATAACGCAGAAACACATCTTGGCTAAATATCCTGAAATTGTGTGTCCTTATCATACATGAAGGGAGCATGCTCTGTCTTGCGGAATCATTAAAAAAATAACTTAAAAATAAAACAGCCGATATAACAATGCCTTGTATGGCTCAGACATATCTGGAATGCATGATCTGTTTGTACATCTCATCGCAATAAGAACAACAAACTGAAAAAAAGTGCAGAAAAGGACCATCAGAACAATGGCAAGATTATAGCAGCTTTCCTATGAGACATGTTTAAAACTTTAGGAGTTGCGTAGAGTGTTGTGGGGGGAAGAGATGTGGGGAACAGGAGAGAGGTTTGTGAAATTATGCAATCAAGACAGGCAAAGGAAGTCCTTGCTCACAGAAGTGAATCAGTTTACGGTACTCACTGCTACCACAACTTCTTATGTATGCCACACTAGGTTTTATACAGCACTCAAGAAAGGTTTTCTGGGATCTCTCTCTCTCTCTCTCTCTCTCTCTGTGTCTTTTTGGACTTCAGCTTCCAGAATTTTTCTGCTAGCAGGGCTACTTGGGGATTCTGGGAGTTGTAATCCAAAAATTAACCTCCAGAAACAAGTGATTTGGGTAGCAGCTTTGTTACTAGAACGCCACAGA